TTTCTTGTACATTTTTTTTTTTTTTTTTTTTTTTTTTTTTTTTTTTTTTTTTTTTAATGAGATTGTGCCACATGTCCACCTGTTTTTAACCCCGGTCACTGAACCTGTTCGTATAGCGTGATTAGTTCAAGTTAGCACATACATTACTATAGGACTAACATTTTCCATATTATTAGTTTTAAACTACGAAAATTTCCTTTCATTTCTATTATAGATTTTATGGATAAATAGGGGTATAATTTTTCGATTACATAGAGTATTGAACTGATTATTATATTATTCAGATATTGAAATTTCTGTCTCCAAATTCTCTTTTCTTTTTCATACTTCTTTCCCGTTCTGCATCACTTTGGCTCCTCCTAAATGAACTAACCTTATTACCTAGTAACTAAAGTACAAGGATAGCATAGACGATATGCTGGATTACATAATAATGCATGAAAGTATGAAATGAAGCTACAATAAAAACATGAAATCATTCAACTGCGAACTACCAAGTGTTAGACTTGCACTTGAAGGCAGAAGGCTTCCTTTGGGGAGTGAAAGTCCATAAAATTTTGAATAAGTATAGGTTTTGCTTTTGTCCACTGAAGGGTACGTAATATTTTTTCAAATAGTTTAAACCAAGAAAGGGAAAGAAATAGATTAAGTTTTGATTTTACCAAGTGCAATGGTTCCCCAGTCCTTATTCGTGCATTTGGACGAGCAAGCTTAGATTCAAATGGAGTTCTTGGCCGTACTTCCTGAATTTCTTCCCACTCCTCACGAGTGAGCATCCTAACAGTTCCCTGACCAGCAGGGGCATTCTTTATTTTCCGCTCAATCATCTCCTGAGACTTGGACTCATCAAGCTGCCAGCATGCAAGATTATTACCATCAGTTGCAAATCACAACTTCCTTAACATAAAACACAGCAAAAGTAATGAAAATGAAAAATAGAAGGAGAAGGATTGTTATTATATAATATGGGTGTAACGGCCAGATCAAAGATAACTCCTGACCATAGACCAAAGAGAGAGCTCAAATTTTAATTCTTCTGGAAGACAAACTGAGTGTTTTCCAACCAAATCCTTTAAAGTTAGCAAATAGTATGGACACTTCCATCATCAACAGCTCAAATGGCGGTCTTTTTTAGAGCAAACTAAATTTCCAAAATCTAAAGGAATGATACTTTTAGGAGAGCATGAATATTAAGAAAAACAATCTAATTGTCAAACCATTTGTTAAGAAAAAGGAATTTGTAAAATTGATTACGCTATTTTAAAGCAAGTTCAAGTGATGTGATAGTACCATCATCAGGAGCTTTGCAAAGAGTGCAACTCCCACTGCAGTTAGTATCATCGGCATAGTTGCTGTATCAAGGTAAGTTCCTGGTTCAGGAACTTCCACAAAAAGTTGATTTTTTCTAGGGCTCTTGCTTTTCCTCTTCTTCTCTAATGAAGAAATTTTTCTCTTCAATGTGTCACTAGGACCATCCCGGGATACTGTATGCAGTTGTCTAAAAATTTGCAACAATGTCCGGCAAAAAAATTGCATGTTTACCAACAAGGTGGCAAAAGTTGCAAAAGATGTTACTGAAATAATCTGTTTAAAGTTCAGTTTCTTCTACTCTGTCTAAAATGTTACAGAAATAATCAGTGGCAAAAAAACACGAACAATAAGAAAAATTGCAGAATACATTACTGAGCCGAAGATATTTGAATCGTCAATGAGTTTAAAAGCATACTTCTAGAAGAACAACAACTACTCATCAATTTGGCAGCCATGTAGAACAACATTTGCAAATACAAGATACATGTGAGGACATGTATGTGCATGTATTGATCTGCACAATTCACTCATGTAATTTCTTTCATCTCAACTATAACAACACAAAGACAAGTACTAAAATCTTTATTCACAATTGAGAAAACAAAATTGGATAAATATATGTATTATTGCAATGTGACAGTGCTACTGATGCAAAAAAACAAATATATACACTTTTTGTCTCCTCAAGCCAAGTCTTTGCCGTCTCTCTCAATCCAGTTTATCAACTCAATATATTACTAACCACTTCATTCACCCTAAACATCAACCCTAACATAAATGAGTAGTTGGATTTTCATGGTAGAAAAAGAGATATGGCTCTTTTCTTTTGTTTGCTCTCAATGAGTTCCATAAATATACAAAGCAATAAATAATTGTAGAAAAATGCACTGTGAAAAGCTTATTCAATACAATTAAAATTTATCATCTAGTGTCCTAATGGCCTATGATAAGTGGGGTAAAAGAAAATGTAGTTGCACCAAAAGCACGCATACGTCCAATGAAAGAATACTTTTCAGGCACACCAAAATAAGCTGTTCCATATAACATTTTTCAACTTTGTATTAACTATAAAAAGAAACTATTCTTTTTTGTACTTGAAACCCAAGAGTTGGAGGCAAAAAATACCGAAGCATTTCATCAAACAGCTAGTCTACGAAAAAGCAATTTTACAAGGTGAGTATCGCCTTGCACAAAATAGCTAGAATTGCAAAAGAGGTGATGCCACCTACAGTTTCAATGATAAGAAACTTTGCACAATTCCTCGTATTAAAGTTTAATTCTGAAGATTCAAAGCTATGATAATGTTGGAAATTTTACGATGGTTTTGAGCTACAAACTTCGAATTTTTTCAATCAAGCTTTAATACAGCAAATTGATAATCATAATAGCTTCTACAAGTCATATAGAACATGTTTTAGTGAAATTTCGACCAGAAGATGAGATATAAGAATAGATCACATAAAAATAAAACTTGAAAAACGTAAAATAATACTAACAAAACTATTATTCTAAACATGAAATTGTATTTTTGCAATTTCACATAATTTTCTATGTACATTAAATCATACAAATATTAAAAATTAAAATCAAAACCATGAAATAAAACTCACGCAATTAGCAATCTCATCAGATTTGATTTGTTTCATTACCTTTCCAAAGTGAGATCGAAGAACCGTAATAGAAAAGAATCGAAGAACCGTAATAGAAAAGAACGATCCATAATGAAAAGCCAAATGCAGAGATTCCAAAAATTCTCACAAAAATTTCACAAAGCCAAGCCTTACAATGTGCGCATAAAAACACTCCTCATATTTTTCTTCTTCCTTTTCCACACCGTCAAACTCAGAAATGTAGATTTCAGATAGATACAATAGAGAGGAGCTGGAGTCCTGTCCGTGGGCACTTCCAGAACCAAGGGAATTGAGGGGGTAATTTTTAGTTTGGCTTAGTCAAAATTGCAATTTTTCACTTTAACCAAAAAATATTTGTCTATAATCAAAATGGCATTTTCTTGAGTAAAAGACAAAAATACCCTTAAGTAGTTTATACAATTACAAAAATAGAATTTTGTTTCAAAAGACAAAAATACCCTTAAGTTACAAATTAAAAAATCAAACACTTTTCACTTTATATTTAATTATTTATTTTAAACAATTACCCAAATTAAAAAAATTAATATTAAATTTACTTTCTTGTTTAAATATTTCATTAATTAATTATCTTAATCGGTTATATATATTATTTATTTAATATTTAATTTCTTTATTTAATTATTTATTTAATCACTTGCTTAAAAAATTAATATTTAATTTGATTTCTCATTTAGATATTTTATTAATTTATTATCTTAATTGATTATGTATATTTAATAAATTATTTAATTATTTATTTTAAACACTTATTCAAATAAAAAATTAATATTTAATTTTGGTTTCTCTTTTAAATATTTCATTAATTAATTATCTTAATTGACCCTTACTTAATTATTTATTTTAAATACCTACTCAAATAAAAAAATTAATATTTAATTTGGTTTCTCGTTTAAATATTTCTCTATTAATTATCTTAATTGATTATGTATATTGTTTATTTAATATTTAATTACTTTATTCAACTGATCACTTATTTAAATAAAAAATTTATTTTAATGTCTTATTTAAATATTTCTTTAATTAATTGTCTTAATTAGTTATGTATGTTATTTATTTATTGTTTAATT